ATTCAAATTATGCGGTGCACTAACTCCTCACCTCTCTGCATGATGAAATGCACCCTTGATGATCTAATGGCATAAGCAATTACCTACTTTTTTTGTGCCAAAATTCAAATTCAAAATAGTGCATTATTGCTATTTTTTTTATAAATAGGCAATGAGCAGGTAACTGATGATTTCTCAACACTGTACATATTCAACCCTATCAGATCAAATTGCCTAGCACAATACTCAAACTTTTGACCTAGAGTCATTCCAAGTTTACTCAACACGACTCTCTTTGTTATTGCAACTTAAATTTTATAGGGCCATTTTACTTTATTTTTTCCTTAGTCTAATGAAGTACTTGTTGTATTTACTCACCGATAATACAATTTGACCTTGTGTGTCACTTGGCATATTCTTAATTTCTTACTTTACTTTGACACTCTAAATTTCAAGAACCTATATAATTATTTGATCTATCTCTCATCTTGAAAAACTAATTCTCTAGTAGGTCTGGCAAACCCTTAAGGAGCATGACACTCCAAAACTCTCTCTCTCTCTCTCTCTCTCTCTCTCTCTCTCTCTCTCTCTCTCTCTCTCAAAATACACATTGCATAATTAAGAGGTATAGATAGTGGCTATTATTTTGGTGAATCAAGGGATTTAGCTGGAGCTCTTGACAGTTTCAATTTTCCCACCTTGAAAGATTTAATTGGATGTCGGTGGCAAAGCTTCCACGGTGGTCTAGCTACCAAAGATGTTGCTCGAATGGTGGTGAGATTTTTAAATATATATATATATATATATATAGGAAAGGCATTTTGACAATTCACTAGTAATTTTTTTAATTCATCCTCACATGCAAATATCATTTTTATGGGGTCCTTGAACGATTCTCCCTCTCTTTTCAGACAATCATTCTAGAGAATGGATTGGTCAGATTGGATTCTCACCATTCAAATGTGGTCGCTATTTATTGGTTTAATTATGCCTCACTCCGTAAAGTTTGACATGTACATAGATAAATTTCTTAATATTTAAAATTTCATTTGTCTTAAATTATAAAATATTTTTATGAAAGATTCAGCGTCTTAAAATATAAAATATTTTAATAAAAATAAAATTTTATTAATGATACTTTTTTAATATTATCCTTTCTATTATATTCTCTCTTTAATATTGTTTTATAAATAGAGTATTAAATAAAATTTATTTTTAAAAATTTATATTTTTGTTATAAAAAATAAGTTGTAAAATGTATTTAATGAGTTTTATTATTAGCATATGCAAATTTTATCCAAAAAGTGTCTTATAATTTAGAATAGAAAAAGTATAATATACGTTTATTGGCGCTTGATTTAAAGTTGCAAGTTATCTCCACATAATTCAAATTACATGCTGAAAAAATAACGGGTGTTATATGCACAAAAAATTATGGAGATATTTGATCAATAACATAATATGCTTCATTTGTAAAAGAACAAAATAATTTATAACAAGGGTTATCTATAAGATCTTGAAATTTTAAATTTTAGGGAATTCTCTGTTTTTTTTTTCGGATGACAAGTCAATATATTAATATATAATAAAACGATTACAAGATTAAAAAAAAAAAAAACTCCCCCAGATCATAATCTGGGAGCCCATTTGTGCAGTCCAGCTATAGCAACATTAGAAAAGAAAAACATAATGTAACTAAAACAGAAACAGAAACCCAAAACAACAACAGACGAAAAGCCCAGACCAACAACAGACGAAAAGGAAAGCCAAGAAACCCACACCATGAAACCCTAGACAGTGCAAGAAAGATTGAAGTGGCTCGTCTCTACTTGATCAGTAAACCTTTCATAGAAAGGCCCACCTGTTGGTTGAAAGAAAAGAAGCACACCAACCAATAAGCTTGATCACCATATTTGTTGGAGAACAAAAAGCTTGAAAGATCTCTCGTAGGATTTGGAAGTCCAAAGCCGAAGCTTTGGAATGAAGGTTATCTTGCCGGAAAAGTCCTGGATAACATGCATGGAGATGTAACTTAACCAAACACATGCATGGCCAATCCCAATCAAGTACGTCCTAGCTTACTTCAAATCTAATTTGACCTATTTATTAAATAGGTTAAAGCTAGATTTAGGTCTTTAAATAAACCTATTTAATTAAATAAGTGAGGCCTAATTTTTTAAGTCATAATCTACCAACCCAACAAGCTAACATATTTATACACACACATGTTATGTAATACATTACTTTCATTATTTGATTTTTAATCCATCTAATTTTTTTAGTTATGTTTTCAATTAAATTGAATTCATATATTAATTTTAATATTATTACTTTATTATTGTATTGTAGTTGGTAAATCCCTTTAATTATTATATATTGTAATTGATAAATCATGTTATATATTTATACTAATAATTCTAAATATATTTAAGATGTTTAAGATTAAAAAGCGAGTTTATTTAAAAATTTTACCTCTAAATAAATTATTAAATAGGCTAAGGTGGGATTTTAAATAGGTTCAAGCTTGAATAATAAGAAAAGCATAGAGGCTTCAAGTCAGCTTCAAAAAACAAAGTAAACTTGTGTTGGCATGTATGTGTCATATCCTGTCCAACAGAAGAACTTTCAGCTACAGGTACAAAACCAAGGTCAGGGAATGCAATATGATCTGGAAGAACAAAAGTCGGTGAAATTGGGACGTGATGTCTTCGAAATGACGATGCAGATGAGATAACGTGGCAGCAAATTGAGTTTTGTAAATGAACAGCTGTTAATAATATTATTTGATGCTCATTATCTTGAGAAACCTGTATTGTTTGCTCGGGAACTTGTTGATCAAACGATGAATAAACGTTGCGTGAAATGGTTGAAGGGGCGAGACCATTGGTCGCCTTGGAAGAAAGGACAGATAGAGTAATTAAAAAGTTTAGATGAGCAATCGCTGAAGCAAAAGAGTGAAGTGAAAAACTTGAAGCCATTGACAGGTGCAGATAAAGAAAATGAGGTCCTTGCCACATGAAGACACTTGTGCTTGAGGTGAAGAAAAGAAAGTATGTGATCCAACGATGCAAAATGAAGATCCAAATCAAACTTAGATCGTTTAGTTAGATACCCAAAAGGTGAAACAGAACTAACTGTCCAGCAGATCAGCGAAGCTTATGCGCATTGACAAATGCACTTGAAGAGTCAGTGATCAGTGGACCGACTTTCGAGGTCCAAGGTCCTGGTGTTCCAGAGAAGAAAGACGATGAATTGCCCTGCTTAAAGACTATTGGTCCATGACTGAATGTCAAAGTAGACTGGCCTCCAATCAGAGATGTTGTATTTAAAAAACTGCCAATCAAATTCTACCCGAAGGGACTCCTCATTTGGGGGCAAAAAGAGAAAAAAAAAAAATAGCCCTCAGATGCAATGAAGGTGCAATATTGAAGAACATGCATAAGAAAGATGTGTGACCGGCTCTTATAAGCCTAGCCTTTATGGGCCTAACTCCTAAAGGTTTAAACCTTAAAGTTTGATTGCCCAAAATTTAAAAAAAATTTTGAGGCCTGACCTTTATTTATAGAAATTAGATCCAAGCTCTTAAACCTTCTTTCTTGAAAAAGTCTAACATTTTAATTTAAATAAAATATTTTAAAATTTAACATAAAACAAATTAAAGTTTTACATAAAATTTGACAAAGATTTAAAATTTTAAATTTAAGATGAAGATTAAAATCTTTATCAATATAAATTTAAATCCTCCTTATCATAATTTAAAAATAAAGTATTAAATCCCTAAGATGTAGGTTCAATTGTTGAAGATGGAGGTGGTTTGTAACTTTTTCTTCATAACCTACAACAAATATTAACCAAATTGTATCATTATCAATCAAATATATATATGTATGTATATACATATAAGATAACCCAGTTTATTTAGGCTTGAAGGGCCGCTCTAGCTTTAGTCATTTTTGACAGGATTTATCAAAGCCAAGCCTTCAAGCTCGGTTATTTTAAAAAAGAAATAATTTTTAAAGCCCGAACTCTTATTTAAACAAATCTTTTAGACTCGGTCCTCATTTTTGACTCATTCTATGACACTGTTGAGAAACATGACCAGCTTGATGACAATTAAAATCAAGAGTGTTGCCATTAGGGGAAAAAAAACCAGAATTCCTTGAAGCTTTAAAGGCTGAGTGATGTCAACCAAGACTTGAAAACGCAGATCATATGGTTGTAAAAAGGAAGAGTCATCGACAGCAATGAAGGTACCCATAGAGTTCCCTATAATCGAAGTGACATCTGTAGTATAAAATTCTATAGGTAAGCCAGTAAGATGAACCAAAGAGGAACATGAGAGAAAAAAAAAATCTTGTAATCATGTATGTCCCTTCCAACTGTGAAGAATCACCAAGCAACCGCTAAGAAGCCAAGGTACATCGTGAAGCATGAATCGTGAGTCTGAAGAGTTGTGGAAAAAGAGCAAGAAACGATTGTTATTAGATTGGATAACCCTGGCTTCAGATCTTAGGTGCCAAAAGTGTGAAATAGATGACTGCGACTTTGATAGATGAAAGCGTCATCGATCATAAATCTCAACGAAGACATAATGAGAAAAACATCAATTGTAATCCAAGAGATTAGGTTTGTATATAGGTATCATGATGATGAGGAAAAGAAAACAAAATAAAAATCAGCAACAGGAAATGTCGAAGTAAGCTCCCAGAAAGTGGAAAGAGCGTGGAGAAGAAAACCTAGAAGGAAAAGAGAGAATTTTAGGGAGTTGTTAAGTTTTAAAGATAAAGGACTTATTTCCACAAAGGCCAAAGTTAAGAAGAGCTTCATCTAATTTAGCCTTATTTATATTAATGTTTATATTAAATTATTTTATATTAAGTATGAAATATTAACCAAATTTTAAAGATGTTTTAAATTGTTTTAAATTAAGTATGAAATTTAAAATAAATTTTCAATTCCACGCTCAAAGAAATAATTATATTTTAATTGAAAACAAGATTTAGAAGTTGTAATGTACATAATTCAAATAAAATTTGAACCATTTGCATTCATATGTGAGAAGCTCGCCTTCAGATGAAACCTCTCCAGAAATCCTTTACTGGGGTCTTATACATGTATATTCAACTTCAACTGCGTGAGTGAGATGTACATTTTATAATACAAGAATTTATGATACAGACACAACTTCTGGGCTAAGATGCTACATTCTAGCTTCTATTTAAATATTTTTAATTAATTTTATATTAACAATCTAGTAATATGGTTCTTTGAAGTATATTACATAAATGATGCAGCAAATCGCAAAAATAATGATGAAAACATCAATAGTGAGAGCAGTCGTTGCTTGATCACTGAGCTTCATGTTCCTTCCTCCAAGCCGATCAACCATGTCAGGAACAGATTCCCAGTTCTTCGCTTCTTTCTCAAAAGGATCCTCCAATCTCATCTTCATCTTCTCTGATTGCCGGCTTGCCGCCTCCTGGAGAAGCGTCCAATCATAGAATTTTCGACTCTCTTCATTGCTCAGGACATTGTAGACTTCTCTCAACTTCATGAATTTATCTGAGGCAGTTTTTAGAGGCAGTGAAGTTGTATCTGGGTGATATTCCTTTGATAATCTCCTGTAAGCTGCTTTAATGTCTTCTAAATCAGCTTCTGCTGAGACTCCTAAAAATCTGCTTATTTTCAAATGAATCAGTTATTCATGAACACCACAATTATTAATAGCAAAATTAAACATGGTCCTCTTGAATGATAACCTCATTACATTACAACTTCAAAATATCAAATCAATCAACAATATCAGCATATTATATAACAACAACAACAACAAGCCTTTATCCCACTAGGTGGGGTCGGCTACATGGATTGCAAGACGCCATTGTGCTCTATCATTTATTAAGCTTTTAGAAATATTATTAATTAAGAGATCACGTTCAACAACTTCCAAGAGTGTTCTCTTAGGCCTTCCTCTACCTCTCTTAATCGGACTCAAAGTTATATGTTCCACTCTTGTCACTGGTGCCTCCCTTGGTCTTCTTTGTACATGCTCAAACCATCTCAACCGATTTTCTACCATTTTTTCCTCAATAGGTGCCACCCTTACTTTTTCGCGTATGTGCTCATTTCGAATTTTATCTTTACGTGTATGTCCGCACATCCATCGTAACATTCTCATCTCTGCTACTCCAACTTTATGCTCTTGCTGTCCCGTTAGAGCCCAGCATTCACTACTATATAACATTGCCGGTCTGATAGCAGTACGATAAAACTTTCCTTTAAATTTATTAGGCACCTTACGGTCACAAATAACTCCTTTAGCTTTTCTCCAATTAAACCACCCAGCTTGAATTCTATGTGAAATATCTCCACTGATTTCGCCATCATTTTGAATAATGGCTCCCAAATATCTAAACTTTTCCACTTGAGGTATAATTTGATCTCCCAATTTCACTTCCAAATTATTTTCGAATAGTCCTTTACCAAATTTACAATATAAATATTCCGTCTTACTTCTACTCAGACGAAAACCTTTCGACTCCAATGTCCTCCTCCATAACTCAAGTTTGCAATTAACCTCTTCTCTTGTCTCTGCTATAAGAACTATATCGTCCGTGAAGAGCATACATTTCGGGATTTCCTCTTGAATATGTTCCGTCAAAACATTTAAAATCAAGTTAAACAAATAAGGACTCAGAGATGATCCCTGATGTAGTCCAATCTTTATAGGAAAATCCTTTGTTTGACCACTAGGCGTTCTTATACTAGTTTTTACCCCCTCATACATATCTTGTATGGCTTTAATATAAGCAATCCGTACTCCCTTTTTTTCCAACGCTTTCCAAAGCACTTCTCTGGGTATACGGTCATAAGCTTTTTCCAAATCAATAAAAACCATGTGTAGATCTTTATCTTTACAACGATACTTTTCCATTAATCCCCTTAGTAGATAAATCGCCTCTGTAGTTGATCTACCTGGCATAAAACCAAATTGATTCTCAGAAATACTTGTCTCCAATCTCAACCTGTGCTCAATTACTTGTCTCCAATCAGCATATTATATAAAATCAAAATAATTTATTACTGTAAATTCACTATTGTAACAACATTTTTCCGACTCCTACAACACTTGGGATCTACGCTAATTTTTAAAAATTTTGTACATTGCATGCTATATGTACAAAATTGAGGTCAGTTTTACCCAAATACTGGAAAACAAGTGGATTGGTATCATGTAGGGAGAAATTGGGTAAGATGATCAGAACTCAAAGTACTATATGACAATTAGTCGTAATGACTAATGAATACCTCTTTTAAAAGTTGGTTCTGACCAATACATAACATTTTCATTTGTTGTGATTATTTAGGGGCCAGAGTTCTAAGTACCCCTTCTAAAATTTTGGTTCTAACTAAAGGTTGGTTATTTTTAGTTTCCTCTTATTTATGCCTCCATTTAATTTTCATCTCGCTGGTAAAAAGGAAACCTAATTTACCAAGAAGAAAATGTCTCTGACAAGAACAAGAGGCTAGCTAGCAATTAGTGCTTTAGTATAATCATTCACATCAGTTATTTCTACTACCTTCTAGTCTCAAGAATTTAAAAAAGTACACTCATTCATACCATTTTTTTTTTCAGACTAAAAGTGATCTAGAATAAAGTTTGGAAAGAGAGGAAGAGAGAGATAGAAGAGACAGAGAGACAGATAGCAATAGAACTGAAAAGTGCAACTGTATTAATGGTTAAAAGTTCATATGTGATACAACTCTTAATTCCTATTTATAGACATTTGTGCTGTGACTTCAGCTATCTAGCGGCTAGCAATGCCCAAATTCCAGCTACCCTTAACTAACTACCTAACAAATCCCTCCTCTTATTACAATTACGTAACAAAAAGTACATTCACTTGTACTAATTAAGAAGAATATAGATTTCAACAGACAATAGACACAACACGAAAAAACAGACCATACAACAAAACAATAGTTCAAATATCTGTATAAAGAATTCTGTCTTAAAATAAGTGACGGCCTTTCTCTAACCCTTACCATCTAACTTGACCACATGACTATTTTATTATTAGTGTGGATGCTTTACAGAATTCATATTATATTTTATTAGCTTCCATGAGTCAAATGACCTGGACAAGCACCTCCTGCAGAACTTCCACACCTAATTGCTGATCTAAGATGGAACCAGCTAGATAAAACAAAGATTGATTTTGGAACAAGACGAGGAAAAAGAAACCTCTGATATAGAAGTGTATTACATATGTGACACAACATGTATATTCAAAGAAAATTTTGCATACTCCCTCATTCTAGAAAGAAAGAAGTCCAATAAAGAACAATTTTTTTTTTGGGGGTTCAGAATCATACATTTTAACAACTTTCACCTTCTATTTATACACTATTTAATTGTTAAATTGATTACAATCAGTCATTAACAATGTTTTAATTACTTCTAATGACATATTTTCCTAATTCCATCTAACATGAACCTTGAAGCTGTGAAGTGTAATAGGAAACTAGATTCCAAGTAGTTTTGCAATGAATATCCAAACAATTTGGTCCCTGAAAAATATATTTCCTTAAAATTTTGTCCTTAGATTTATTCCTGCCCATAAATTAGTACTTCAAGAATAAATTGTTATACATGCAATATTGAGTTAAATAAAGCAAATATACAAACCGGTCCAACAAAAGAACTGATAAATGACACATTCAAGACTTCAAAGAACCAATTGGCTTAAACAAACAAATTCAGAAGCTAAACCATCCCAAGTTCTATCTTTCAAGGACCAAAATTTTACAGTTACTCTGTTCACATATTGATAAATGACATTGTTCACAATCCAATTTCTCATATCCAACAACCACAAACATTCAGTTTCAAATTACATCCAAACACTATATCTTTCAAGTGTTTGAACTGTTATCTGGTATCATTGGTATACTTTGAATACTTTGCATTGGTCTTTAGCCAAAAGTAACGCTTCAGGATTAAAACAGGCACTCACTCGTAATGAGAACCAGAAGAATCAGAAAGCAAATCAGCAAAATTTGGCCCAGCACATCCTCTGCTTTGGACTGTCTCGTGTTACTTGTGGTGCCTCCAATCCAACCCTCATCTTCGTTGTCCCAATGAATTCTTGTATCAACTCCAGGGGGTGCTCTCTGGCGATCGCGAGGCCCCTCTGACGTCTGTGAGGCTCGAAGTCGAAGAACCAGAGCTTTAGAAGTGGAGCTATGGAGTCCAAAGGATCCTGTTGATGGGTGATTTCGCAAGAGAGCGTTCTGCAATAGAACCTGTGTGGCTGCTACGGAAGCCATGGAAGGAGAGGGGGGGAGGGAGACAAAAGAGATGCAAGGAATGGTGTGGCTCTCAAATATGAAGGAATCCATGTCGTTCATCCGTTCAGGGTTTATGTGGTTCACAACATTTTGAGAAGAAAATTGACCCCTTTCGAATTTGCACTTCACAGTTTGTATGTTTCGATTTGTTCCGGTCCAAGTTGGCCTGTGTCATATGCCATATTTGCAACTTGCAAGGGAGGATGAAGGCAAAGTCCTCAGTTTCTCAAATATTCAGATATTAGATTAACCTCACCACGCCAATAGACCCATTTCAATTTGATATAATTAAATAATTAATTAATATTATTAATTTTAATTATAATTAATTATGTTATAATATAATTTATTTGAATATTATTTTTTTAAAAAAACAATTTTAACATAATTAAATATATTTGAATAATTTAATTAGAATCAATTTTAAATATGTAAATTATTATAAAAAATGTTGCTTTTAAAAATTAAATTATTGATAAAGTTGTATATAATATTATTAAAGTTGTAATTCTTTTTTTAAAAAATGTAAGATATTTTTAACTAAATTCTATTTTAAGAAAGTAATTACTTGTTTTCAAGTTAATTTTATCTTTTTATATTTACTCCAATTTAACATAGTATTTTATCCTAAAGTAAATATAAAATAATTTATTCAATAGACACGCTTTTAGAAAAAAAAAGACAATGATTATATTTTAAAAAATTAAAAATGTCTCATATTTTTTAACACTTAATCTCTCAAAAAATACTTTATATTTTTAAAGAATATGAAATTGAGAAAAGATATAGCATAAACAAGGGATAATATTGGCAGGTAAAACATTCTGACAAGCAATTAATATTCTAATAGTAAAATTAATTGAGCGAAACTGCCAACTCTAGCTTATAAGAAAACATGGTTTACCCTTAAATGATCGATTAACAACGATTTCGGGTGTTTGGCAATTTTTCACTAAAATCATGATTTTGCCCCAAAAAATTGATTAATTTTGCAATCCAAACAGGCAATGCAAAGTTTGGTGAGTGGGTGGAAATTTAATCAATAATTTATAACATGGTATATTTAAATTTGATTATGTATGTGATAATTTTGATGAGGAGTAATTTGTAAGTATCTTTATAAATGATCTTTAAACCAAAAAATATATCCTTTCAAGTTTGACAAGTGTCTAAAACCCAACTCACGATTTGCATAAGTTATACATCATTGAATTTGAGCTCACAAACATGCACAGACAAGTGCTCACAAGTCACAACATGCATATACAATTGCCTAAGTAAAAATGACATCTAAAATTTAAATATTTAATTTTCAGTTAAAACTCTTAAATTATAATTATTTAAAGTGATATTAGTCATTTACTTTTTTAAAATTTTATTGATAGTAATTTGTTCTTTTAAGGTCATTCTCCTTGTATGAAACCCATGTCCATATATAGATGCAAGGACTTACTCTTCCACAGATTTAATGTGTCTATTAGTTTTGTGCGTAGAAATTAATGTTAAGGATTATTTTTACTCTCTAACTGTACATAAAAGATCACCGAAGACTTTAAATTCAATTAGGAGTTATTTTTCTCTCTTAACAACAAAAGTTTACCCCTTGATATCTCTGACGTTAAATTGTTCTATTTTTTCATAATACAGGTCCCATATTTGATTTTTTAAAAATATTTTTATTTATTATAAAATATTATATGGTGGGTCCTACCATATTTTATATTTTTTATAATATAAAAAAATCACCTTCCATCTTCATCTCCCTTCCCTTGACCCTCACTCTCCCTCTCTAATCTTTCCTTCTCTCATCTCTCTCCTTCACTTCATCGATGAGAACGCTATCCAACATCCTCGACACAGTACTCACCAACGTCCTCAACATAGTGCCATACTTGTCATCCTTGAAACTTTCTTGCTTTGGTTCTAAAGCAAGCAACTTGGGTGGAGGGTTGAGAAAGAAGAGAGAGAATGTGAGGGAGGAGATACTGGCGAGAGAGGAGAGGGGTGATGAGGTTTGCTTGACTTTAGCATGAGGCTTCTGGTCTTGGTGACATTGACAGCGTGCGTCGGCAAGATACTAGACACGTTTGTAGTGGCGTTATTGTGTAGGATGACGGCGAAAGCCCCTAACTTTGGGTGTGCTTATGAACACCAAAGGACATGCCCTTTCCTCTTTCAACCACACCTCCTTGAGCTCCTTTTCCCCTCCTCCTTCTCCTTTGTCTATCACCCTCACAGCTATGCCCTCACTAAAACTCTGATGGCAATCTCGTTCCTTCCCTCTGCCCACATCCCATTCCTTCTAACCAAGCTCGTCTCCTCTAAATTCTTCATCATCATCTTCTTCTAACTTCTCTCTCTCTCTCTTTCTCGCCCAAAAACCCACAAGTCAAGCCTCTTGATGTAAGGACACCTCATGCATTGAGGACCTGCTTGCTTGAGGCAAAATCAACAAACACGAGCTTAGGTTTAGCTTGGCTGAGGTTGACATTGAGAGCATGAGCATGATGGAGGAAGTTCATGGTGTGGCTGAATCTAAATCATCAAAGGCTAACACTATGAAGATTCTAGTCAAGAATACTGTCATCAGTGACGAAGGCCACTATGGCATGTCCAGAGATGAGCGACATCGTGTCTCCAGCAAAACTGATATCATTCATGACCTGATCGTCCTATTCCAGTGCGAGAGAGACATGGAGGAAGAGAGAGAAAATGGATCAAAAAAATATTAAAAAAATACTAGAAGGTGGGACCCGTTAACTATAGAAGAGAAGGATTTAACCCTAGGCATGAAGATTTGAATTTTAAAAGTTGAAGTACATAATTGATATATAGTTGAATTTAAAAATATTTATGATATTTTATGTATATTTTAAAAATATTTTTGACCCTTAAACTATAACTATATTGTTAATGTTTTGTTTATGTTTTGCTATGAGTCCAAAACTAGTCATGTATTAGAATATGATTTTTGTGGCTTTCAATTAAAAAAAAAAGAATATGATTTTTGTATGTTTGATAATCCTACCTTTTTGTTTCTTAACGAAAGTTAGGTTTTCTTTTTTGTATTTTTTATTCTTTTGAATAAATGTTACTCCTTTTACCCTAAAGAAAACCATGTCCATTTGATAAGAAAAAAATAACTATTTTTAAGAAAATTTGTTACAATAGTTATCCTTATTAATTGTGTTGCAAATTAAATCCTTTTTTCCTTAAATAACCAATTACTCTTATGTGGTTGCCATTAAGAGTAGAAATATATTAGGTCGAACTATATTTTAATCAAATAAGTCTGAGCCTGTATAAAACTTTTTTAAGACTTAGATTTAAGTCTATCTAAAGCCTAACTAGCTTGAAAGCCTATTTAAAATAAACCTTTTAAATATGCTCATATTTTAGTTTTAAATGTTTTAAATATGCTTTAGTACTATTATAATATATAATATATAATTGATTTATCAATTATAATACATAATAATTGAAAGGACTTACTAACTATAATATAATATAACAATAAAGTAACAATATTAAAATTAATATATAAGTTTAATATGATTAAAAATATAATTAAAAATAAAAAGAATAGGTTAATTAAAAATTAAATAAAAAAATTGATGTGTTTGTGATATATTACATATATATATAGGCTAGCATGTTGGGCTTGTGGGTTAGGTATTGAAAAATAAATTTGGCCTATTTAACTAAATAGACTTAATTAAAAGTTTAAATTTAACTTAAATCTATTTAGTAAATAAGTTAGGTTAAATTTAAAATAGATCAGATTGTAAGCCCTCATTGAGGGCCTGCTCTATTTCCATTTCTAGTTGCCATGCTTGAAGGTAAAAAAAATTCTTCAACTCAAAATCAAATTAAAATTAACAATTAAAGTCAATATTCAATAATCAACGATTTTAACATTAGAGAGGAAATATTACTTTAACAAGTAAATAATAATTTAGAACACCTTATATTTATTGGAAATGAGATTAGATATAAAAATACCATTTAAAAATTTAAAATTAAGAATTAAAAAATGTTTCGTAAAAAGATGCAAAAAAATTGCGAGATCCATTGCCCTTGTACGGCCACATTTAGTTGAGGAGGAGTAGAAGAGAAGCTATACTTCGAATCGAAGGGTGTCGAGTCGAGAGCACGAGGAAGAGCAAGCAATTCCCAACGGCGGCAACAAGTGGCGGCCACCGGCTCCACTGTGAAGAATCTCTGTCGGCCATCTCTTCCATTTCGGCACCAGCAAGTTAACTAAACCCAGATATCAAATTTGTCTTCTTCATCACGTAGCTCATGGCCACGGCAAAAATGCCACTTCAATCAACTCCCCTACAGAAGAATCAATTAATTTCCTTCGCTCATAGCATTATGCATGAGGGAAGGAGGCATTTTTGTCCGTTGCAAGTAAGGCATTTCGATTCTCTTTTTCTCTATTTGACTGTTGTTCTTTCTAGTCTTCTGAATTTTCTTTTCTCCCCCGGTTTTTACCGATGAATATTTATCAGTGCTTTGATTTTGCTCCATATTTTGAGGAAAATAAATAGTTAGTAACTTATAAGCAACAAATTTTTTTAATTATGTATTGTGGATAAAGATACTTCTCATCTGTTATTTATATGACAGAATATTTTATTTTTATAGAGAATTAGTTTTGCAAACAAAAAGACTATAAATTGTACTGTCTAACAAGGTAGAGATTAGTTGCTGCGCCTAACCTGCTTCTGTTATGCACAGAGTGGTAATTGTTTCTTTCAAGTAACATTATTTTTACTCACTTATTGTTAGATGCTGATAATGAAATCACAGGCTGTTGAAACTAATTCAGATTTTTCTCCTCTTGCCATGAGACAGGAATAGGGATTGTTGCTCAGTCGATGCACGTTAAACTTAAATGTTCCTTCAGATCTCTGGTTGCATCAAACTCCGTATTATGCCACTACTACTTAACCTTACCCTCTATTCTTCATTATTCAACTATCCCACACAATCCAAACTCAGAAGAGCATCATCTGTATGACCATCTGCTGCAGTCTTGCTTACGGCAATGCAGGCAAATCAAGTACCACTATCTGTTTGATGAAATTTCTGGGAGACGTTCCTTGGTCTCAAGAATTAGCAAAGTCATCCATGCCCACAGCATTAAAAATGGAATTGGATCAGAAGGGTTACTTGGAAATGCCGTTGTTGATCTCTATGCTAAATGTGGCAATTTGGGCTTTGCTGAGAAGGTGTTTGATCAGCTGGATAATAAGGATTTGTTGGCTTGGAATTCACTTCTTGTTATGTACTCTAGAAATGGGTTGCTGGAACGGGTTCTTCAATGCATTGGGTCTCTAAGAGATTATGGGCAATTGCCTAATGAATTCACTTGTGCTATTGCTCTGTCTGTTTGTGCAAAACTGAAGAATGTTGAATATGGCAGGTTTGTTCATTGTTGGGTAATCAAGGGAGGTTTTTCATCATTTTCTGTTTGCAAGGGTTCCCTTATTGATTTGTATGCCAAATGCAACTGCATGAGAGATGCTCAAAAGGTATTTGATGGGGCTTTGAACTTAGACATTGTTTCTTGGACTGCAATAATATCTGGTTACATTCAAGATGGTTTACTGGAGGAGGCAATAAAAATGTTTGAGAAAATGCTAAAATCTGGTCTTGATCCGGACCAAGTTATCTGCATAACCATTATGAATGCATTCTTGAGTTTAGGAAGGGTGAAAGATGCATGTGAATTGTTTAAACAGATGCCCACTCGCAATGTTGTAGCATGGAATGTAATGATTTCAGATCATGTGCGCAGAGGTTGTAATGAGGTGGCCATTTCATATTTCACTGAAATGAGGAAGGATGGAATAAAATCCTCAAGATCCACTTTGGGAAGTGTTTTGAGTGCAATTGCCAGTTTAGAGGCTCTGGATTATGGGTTGTTAGTTCATGCAGAGGCAATCAAACAAGGTTTGGATAACAATGTGTATGTAGGAAGTTCTTTAATCAATATGTATGGCAAGTGTTTCATGTTGGATGCTGCAAAGCAAGTCTTTGACGCAATAGATGAAAAAAATATTGTCATATGGAATGCCATGCTTGGAGGTTATGCACAGAATGATTATGTTGATGAGGTTATGGACTTGTTCTTCTGCATGATGAGATGCGGTATGGACCTGGATGAATTTACATACACCAGCATTTTAAGCTCATGTAGTTGCCCAAAATACCAAGAAATGGGTCGCCAGTTGCATTCTGTTATTGTCAAAAAAAGATTTACAACTAATTTATTTGTGAATAATGCATTGATAGATATGTATGCTAAAGCTGGGGTTTTGAAGGAAGCTAGAAAGCTGTTTGAGCTCATGCCAAGTCGAGATAATATATCTTGGAATGCAATTATTGTTGGATATGTGCAGCAAGAAGATGAGGCTGAAGCTTTCAACTTGTTCCAGAGAATGATTTCTCATGGTATTGTGGCTGATGAGGTGTCTTTGACTAGTATGCTTAGTGCTTGTGGAAATGTCAAGGCCCTGGAAGGAGGAAAACAAGTCCATTGTCTGTCATTTAAGTTGGGTTTAGAAAGAAGACTTTGTGCTGGAAGTGCTCTTATTGACATGTATTCCAAGTGTGGGGCCATTGGAGATGCACAAAAAGTATTTTCTAGCATGCCAGAGTGGAGTGTTGTCTCTCTAAATTCTCTGATCTCTGGGTATGTCCAAAAGAATACAAAAGAAGCTTTCAATCTTCTTCATAAGATGCTTATCATGGGACTAGAGCCATCTGAAGTTACATTTGCAAGCCTTATAGATGCTTGTAGGCCTCAAAATATAACATTAGGCTTGCAGATCCATTGTGTCATCTTAAAGAGGGGCCTTTTGTGTGGTAGTGAATTCTTAGGGGTCTCTTTGTTGGGCATGTATATGGATTCTCAAAGAATTGCAGATGCAAACATTCTTTTCTCAGAGTTTTTGAATCTTAAAAGCACAGTATTATGGACTGCTTTAATTTCTGGACATACTCAAAATGATTGCAGTGAAGAGGCCCTGACCTTGTTCTGGAAAATGCGTGAGAACTATATTTTACCTGACCAAGCTACATTTGTTAGTGTTCTTCGAGCTTGTGCTATCTTATCTTCATTGCAAGATGGAAACAAGATACATTCTCTAATTTTCCATACTGGTTTTGACTCAGATGAGTTAACCAGTGGTGCTCTAATAGACATGTATGCTAAATGTGGAGATGTAAGAAGTTCTGAGCAAGTTTTCAAAGAAGTGAGTTCTAAAAATAATGTTATTTCTTGGAACTCAATGATTGTTGGATTTGCCAAGAATGGGTATGCAGGAAATGCTCTTGACATATTTAATGAGATGACACAATCAAGTGTTATGCCAGATGATGTCACATTCCTTGGGGTGCTTACTGCCTGTAGTCATGCAGGGTGGGTTCCCGAGGGCCGTCAAATTTTTGATATGATGATCAATCAATATGGTATTCAGCCCAGAGTAGATCACTATGCCTGCATGGTTGATCTTCTTGGTAGATGGGGGTTTCTTAAAGAAGCAGAGGAGTTCATTGACAAACTAGATGTTGAATCCAATGCTAGGATTTGGGCCTCTCTGTTAGGAGCTTGCCGAATACATGGAGATGAGAAAAGGGGGCAACAGGCAGCTGAGAACCTCATTAAGTTAGAGCCTCAAAATTCTTCTCCTTACATACTGCTTTCTAATATATATGCTGCATCAGGACATTGGAATGAAGCAAGATCTTTGAGGAGAACAATGAGAGAGAAAGAAGTCCAAAAGATGCCTGGATTTAGTTGGATCGTAGTGGGACAAAACACTAACATATTTGTTGCTGGTGATAAATCGCATTATAGTTCAGATGAAATCTATGAAACTTTGAAACATCTTACTGCACTAATGAGAGAGGATAGATTTCAGGAAGGTGGAACATTTCAGGTTGCTCAAATTTAGTTATTCAGAATAGTTGAAGCTCTGCAGTCGACTCTAGTTTGCTGCCTGACTGAACATAACGATGCATCTTTTGCTGAAAGGAGCAAAGAAAGAGTTAAGATATGTGCAACTCCTCGTCTTTTCCTTTTCCTTTTTTTTTAAAAAAAGATTTTTACATTTCTTAGAAATTTTAGAAAAGGGATTTTTTTTTTTTTAGTTAAGTTGAACTTGAACATCATATTGAGAGAAATGTAGTGGCAATTCTACTTGTTTCTTCCCATGCTTAATTAATTGTTTTCTTATGTTCGGGTTGTTTTGTGTCACCACGTTATTTAATGGAAAAAATTTATTCTGGATTGAGAACTTCAGAAGACTCTGAAGTTCTTTCATATGGTTCATTAATTTTGGTATTAACATTTGAGACTAAAACTTAAGGTATTATAGCTTAAACCACAATAGTTAACTGGAGGATTCGAAAGATATTATTTGCTGAAAGTTTTCTATTTGACTACTCTTGGAGGATGGATTTTTTTGGTCAAGAAAGAACTTAGGGAGATACTTGAAGTTTGCTTATAAAACCTCACCCATCTTAATGTCAATGTTTCTGATTAGACTGAATGTGTAGCAAAGTGAGATGATCTAATGTACTCCCTCCAGATCAAAATAGAAGGACATTGGTAACTAATTCGCAGTTCTAAAAAAATGTTAGATGAAATCTTAATTTCTTAAAAAAATTTGCATCTTTCCAATTTGACCTTCATTAAATACCTAATATATGTAGCTTGATAATGATAATTAAAATTTCAATGCATCATTTTTTCAAAAAGAGCAATAAATGAAATAGGGATATATTTGGAAAAAAAATTATAAAAGTTACTCAATACCTTATATTTTGGACCATATAGGGCTTCTAGAAGATGTCTTATAGTGTAATTCGAAGGGAGTATTGAATAAAGTTATATCTAAGGACTAGTACGCCTATCAAATTGCCATGTTTTTATAATTCTGACATTAATTAGTTAGATATAGCCGTTAGTAGAAGTTTGTTAATAGCCGTTGGAGGTATTTGGGTTCCTATAAATACTTTTCTATTCAATTGTATTGTTGTTGTTGACAGATTAATAAGATCTTAGGATTATTCAGAATTCCTTATATATCTTTCTCTCTTTTTCTCCAACCTCTCATCTCTCTTCTCTTCATAAAACCTCTCTGCTCTTCTCTCCACCAACCTTCTTCTATAATCCTCTACTTCTAAAGATTACAAACATCCAACAGTGGCATTAGAGCCAGACTGTCCTTGGCACCTCCCTTATTCATGTTTGATGGTACATGGTGACAACTCGCACCCAAAAATAGTAAGAAATGGATGATCGAGTTGCAAGATTTGAAGAAAGATTCGAAAAAGTAGATACCTTGTCAGAAATGGTAGAGGGTATCTCTAACCAACTCCAACTGGTCATGCACAATAGAGAAGCCTTGAATAACTATGACTGAAAAGGTTGGCGCGAACACAGATATGAGGAACGTCAGAATAGAGACGATGGACCATGCTGCAGAGAAGACTATAGACGGCCATACCCAGTTTATGAAGATGGAGTTCCCTAGGTTCTCGCGTTCTGATTTAGTAGGTTGGCTTATGCGTTGTGAAGAGTTCTTTAGTCTTGATAATACCCTAGATGATGATAAGATTCACATGGCAAGTATTCATCTGGATGAGAAGGTATGGTCATGGCACATTGCGGTGAAGAAGATGTGGGATGGCGTCGAACCTACCTAGGAACAATATGCCTAGTCCTTGTGAGAACGTTTTGGGCCACTGCATGAGACCCCTAAGGCCAACTTGATGCGACTCCGCCAACAGGGATCTTTATTAGACTTTAATGATGCTTTGGACACAAGAGCCTGCAAGATGGATCTTTCCTAAGGCTATCTGGTTGAAGCATACATAGAGGGACTAGCTGAAGAATTCACGGCCTCATGCGACTTTTTAAACCTTGAACACTTCAAGAAGCACGAACTTTGGCTCGGATGTAGGAAATTACTCTTTAGCGAAAGACCGAGTGGAAGACGAGTAGCAAGACTCCTTCACATGTGGCTGCTCCTTCAAACACGTCATCATAGAATGCCTAAAACACATGAGGTTCTTACAAAAGTGCTTTATTAAGCGGTGGGACCCAGAGCAAAGGGAAGTTAACACCTTTAGCCTCTAAAACTTTGTCGTTTCCCTCTAAGAATGCCATTAATGCTTTTAAAACTCTCTCTGCAAAAGAAGAAGCATCTTGGTTGCCTTTGTACCAATTTTGGCAAAAGTTTCCTCACTTTGTTATCACTTATCCTTGAGGGCAAGGATCTCTTTTGAGGAGGGTTATTATTATGTTTTTATAATTTTGACATTAATTAGTTAGATATAGCTGTTAGTAGAAGTTTGTTAATGGCTGTTGGAGGCATTCGAGTTCCTATAAATATTTTTCTATTAAATTGTATTGTTGTTGACATATTAATAAGATTTTGGGATTATTCAGAATTCCTTATCTATCTCTCTCTCTTTTTCTCCAACCTCTCGTCTCTCTTCTCTTCTTAATACCTCTTTGCCCTTCTCTCCACCTACCTTCTTTTGTAATCCTCTACTTCCAAAAATTACAAACATCTAACACAAACTTATTCAACTGTTATGACTTGCGTTTTCTTGTTTTAGTGCAGATACTCGCGGGGATTGTATTGTTTTGCTTGTCTCTACATGATCAATGTTCTTACTATGCGTCCTTACTTCCTTCCCTCCCTTTATTTTTCTAATATTGGTTGTTATTGCAAAACAAGCAAAACCACATTTTATTTCATATTCAAACTTTTCATTGTCCATTTGCGCATGCAACAGTGCCAACAGTTGTCCATCCATTTTTTTCCATTGGATATTGATGGTGGTTAAATTTTTGGGATTGATTCCCCAACTTGCATGTGTTTTTACTATATGCATGGGCTGAAGCTATTGACCTTTCCGTATTGAAAAAAGCAATCAATCGATGATGCTGCTAGAACTGACCTATAAACTTAGTGGTCTTGCTTCTCAAGCATTATCATGAAGTTTGCAGATTTGTATTTTGAACTATTGTGTATGAACTGACTTTTGAAATACATATAGATTTAGTTTGGTTTCTCCATTTCAACCACTGTGCATTAATACTTTATCATTTTCTTTGTTTGCCCGTGCAGGTTGAACCTTGTTTTCTTAAGAAGCAACGGCACTTATTTGCACATGACCATATGGGCCTGAGTATTTGATTCTAAGAGGGTTATCCAGTGTGATGCTTGTTTTTGGCAAAGGAAAGTACTCTATTTTACAGGAGATGCCACCCCGACGAGTTTATGTATGCATTTCTGGAATTGAGAACATTATGATTCAATCTTTGGTTGATCAACTCAATGGCAATCGAGTGAAGATAAAATATTGGCAACAATTTGATCTCTGTGAGAGCCATGAATGGTCATCTGCAGCAAATAGCCTACATTATAGCACACTAAGGAAGAGAAGCAATTCTACAAAATTTTTGTTGGTCTCAATCCAGTCTTTGAAGAGGTTAGAAGTTGCATCATGAGCATGGATCGATTGTTGAAGTTGAGCAAGAAGAAAGCTGACATCACATTGTCAAGTTTCCTCCACCTCCTTTGAAGCCTCAACGTTGGCAGTCCAAGAACCATAAGTCAGAGAGCACATGTTAAGGAAACCAGGCATATACCATGGTGTGACCATTGCCATAAACTTGGCACACTAAAGACAGATTCACAAGATGCATGGGAGGCTAGCAAAGTAAATGAAAAAAGAAGAATCTATAAGTAATGGAAGAGGATACTCCTGGTGAATCCCGAGGAGAAACCACAAGCTGAGAGTGAGATGCATGACTGAAGCAAGTTATAGCTTAAAATGGGGTTGTGTTTGTCTGCTGCACACTACCTTGTAGCACGGTGCAATGTTGCAAATGCACCCAAACATTTAGGCTTAGTTTGAATGGAGGGAAAACTCCAAAAAATAGTAAAATTTATTATTATTATTATTATTATAGTTTAATGTTTTTCGTCATAATTCTCTCTTCTTATTTTTCTTCTCGTCCAATCTAAGAGTTAACCTTAATGCTACGCAGCACCTTGCAACTAAAGTCTACTAGACTTGCTTGACAAATAGATTGGCAGTCAATTGCCGCAGCAAACATAAGGTAATAGCTCATCAATTCTGGTTGCTACTGCTATATGTGATCCATCACTGGCTCTAAGCTCAGAAAGTTCACAACAGAAATATAGTTACGTTAATGTAATGTTGGTATTGACGTGATTCTTACAAATGGATCATCTTTTAAAGTTAGTGGTTATGGTACTCTGACAAGTTATATGAAACACTGATCTTAAAGAACGTGTTGCTGGTTTCTGATTTGACACGTAACTTGTTTACAAGGTATTGTTGTTGTTTTCGTTGCTGTTATACGCCAATATTCTTCACGATAAGGAAGCGTTGAACGTGATCACCTAATTACATTTGTCAGCACTTGAAAGTTTGGCAAAAGTATATTTTTGATTTCTTTGTTTTTTTTTTTGTTTTCTAATTCTAATATTGTCAGTTTCATTAATAAAGAATGTTGACATTGAACTTTTAGATGCTAACAAATTTTTTTCAAATATTGACAAATTAAATTTAATTTCTTAAAATAATAATAATTGGCACACAAATCATCATTTGAGACTCAAGACATTAGGATTAGAAGATTAAAAAATATTTTATAAAATTAAGGAATCAAATTAAAATATTATATAAAATTAGATAACCAAATGCAAATTTTTAGCATGAAAATTTTTGAACTTTCATATCAAATATGAATTTATAGCTAGTAGTATTATTTACAAACTCTGGCTGATATGATTCATTCTTTGAACTCGATGTAGTGCATGGGATTAAGCATAAAATTTGAGTTTTTTTTTTTTTTAACTTGAAAATTTTATCTTTCTCCTCTTTGCTCTGGTGTTAATCCTCCTTGACCACAGGTGGGGCAACTCTTTAGCCCAAATCCTTGGCAGTCATAACATCTACACCAAAGATTTTCACAAAGCCATTGAATAAATAGCATAAATAAGTAAAAATAAAAACAAATTAGGAAATTAAATGTTGCATGGCTAGGATTTCTTCTCAAAGAATAAAGGTAGAAGAACTCACTTCCATCTCTCAAATATATTGCCATTCTTTTTATTCTTTCCTGTTCCCTGTCAAATGTTTAGGTGTGATTAGGATCACAAAGAAAAGATATAAAATCACAACTAATGAGACACAAGTAGTTTTGTAACATTTATTATAATTACAATAAAATAATATAAATTTATTTTTATTATTTTTCTCATTTAAGCATAAAAGGATAATTTATCATCACATCTTTTACCCCCTTTTACATACAAGGATACATTGTGTATATCAAACATAATTTTCTGGCAAAAAAAAAAAACGAACATAATTTAAATATATTCAATAAAAAATCTTCATAAAAATTACATATTTAGAAATATCATAAAAATAAAATTAAGACAAATTTCCTTTTTTCCTCTCAAAATTAAAAAATGACCTATGATTACTAATTTTTCACCAAAATATCATTTTTTTTCCCTATAAAAAATGGGTTTTACCATGAATAACTTAATTACAAGCCTTTCTAACCCACCTGTTATACTTTTTTGGTTAAAATATTATTTTATCTGACACTATTTAGGCATTCTCACTTAATCCAATCATTATTCGTATTATATATATTCTTTTTAAATCAGAATAAATGTCAACAAAATCTATTGAGCATATATACCTACACACAATATTATATATACTCCCTCCAATTCTTATTATAGGGCAACTTCTACAAATATTTTTTTAATTTTTAATATAAGGCATACGTAGAGTTGTTTAGTATTATTTTCTAATTTCACCTTGGTTGTAAATTTAATTTTTATGGCTCATCGTGTACTATATATCTCCCTCTTCCTATTTTTATTAGAAACAAAGCTGAATTTTTTTATTTTAAGATACATTTAATTAGTTAATTGTCATTTCATAATTTTAGTGAAATGATTGAAAATGCCTTATAATTCGAACTCAGAAGGAGTGTGTGTGTAAGAAAGGAGTAGGGTTGGAGAAAGGCAGACCTTACATCCTGGACACTCTATGGCACCTTGGCCTCCACAAGTTTGGCATCTTTTCAATATCTGCATGATCATTCCAAGAAAATCAGAGGGAAAATATGCACACATATATACACACACATCAAAAAAGCCAGAAGAAAAAAAAATTATCTTTTCACTATGAATTTAAAATATGATAGTTAAAAATCAATATATATATATATATATAAAATATACCAGTAATCCAATTTAAATATAAATAATTTATATTAATATTAACAGCAATATGTTCCTATTGCTGTCTTATTACCTTTCTTTCTTACTATCTGACGTTCAAAAGCCAATAGGTTTAAATTAATTTGGATCGAGTTAGGTTGAGATCCTTTCAGGCAAAAGTTCTATCACCAATTGTTGCTGTATTTTTAAGACTTGAAGTTGATGCATCTATTTAAATTAGTACATCTCTCTTACCAAATGAACTAAATACTTATTGGTTAGTCCTTTTCTTTTTCAATACTATAAGATTTAACTCTTCAAATATTTTCTTCTATCAATAAACATATATAAGTTACCATTGTTCCAGTTAAACTTTCAACTATTCCCCACCCAAAAAAAAAAAAAAAACTCTCATGTTATCTCTGGTTTATGGTACAGAGACGATCATAGTATGACTGGGAAAAAAGGTTTTTCATTCTCTTCAAGCAATATTTATTTCACCTTTATAATCATTATTTAATATTCAATATATAGTATCCATTATAACCTGTTAACAATGTTATTAGTATCATAATTCATCAAAACCAAATTACATGTAATAAATCATAATATTTATAAATTATGAAAAATATGATTTCCTGCCAAGAAATGTTGACTCAATCAGCAAAAGTAGTACAACTCATATTTATTTATTTATTTTTGAACAAACTCATATTTCTTATTTAAAGTTTGTTATAACGCTACAAATCTCAAGTGATCTAAATTTTATCTCAAAAAAAAAAAAGATTTGTTCTCTCAATTTTTGGTAGGAGAATAAAAATTAAGTTCCAAAAATATTAAAAATGGTTAAACTCTCAAAAAAATTTTGTCAAAAAATAAATTACAATTAACGATTTAAATAGTTATAAATTTAATAGTTCTAACAGTAAATAAAATGTTCAATTTCTAAACGTAACTATAAGATTACAATCAAGATTCATGTTTACAATTATCTAAATCAATATTTTCAATTAATTTTTTAAAAAAAATTGTCGAAAATTTAACAATCTTGATTTTTTTTTTCCCCCTGTGACTTTACTGTCACTCTCCCTGATGCATAATGGACATGTGGGTTCGATTCAGTCAATAGATAGATATAAAATCCACAACAACCTAAATATGAATAATGGTAATGTCAACATATCAATCATCAATAATAGTCAATAGATATAGCTAAGTTGTATTGTTCATAAAAACAGTGCTACTTGATTCCTTTGATTGTGGAAAAGGGGGAATGAGAGGTATAAAGAGTAAGAACGCACCGAATTAAGAGAGAAACCTCCAGATTTTGCAGCCATGGCCGTGAAAGTGCGTTTCTGTGACTGTGTCTGGGGTTTCGCCGTTGAGGTTCTGGTCGGACGAAGTTGACTCCACCATCACATAGCGGCGGAGCAGCCAAGCTGTTGCAGCAAATATGGGCCATTCTCTCTCCCCCTCCCCCTTCTCTCTCCTCTGTGTGTTTTGTTTTGCCCAAGCAGATGCCGAACTGGGTAACGGGTGGATAATATGAAACCCAAACATGCTTCGGTGGTTGCTTATTAAGGTAACGACATCTGTACCATATAAAATTAAAATTTATAAAATTATTATTTTTTAATAAATATACTTTATCATTGATTTAAAGAATTTAATTTGAATGGCCAAATTCGATATTAAAAAATTTATAAATTTTATTTTAATAAATACAATATAAAAAATAAAGATAATCTGTCAACTCATAGTTTTTAAAAAATGATAAGTTAAAAATTTTTAAATTTGAACTATTCAAAGTAAATCAAAGTAGTCAATTTATAAAAATTATACAATTTTAATATTCTTTATGCTATTTTTTAAAGAGTTAAATATTAAAAAATATAAAATATTTTTAATCCTTCAAGGTACAATCATTATCTTTTTTTCAAAAGTATTTCTATTAAATAAATTATTTTATATTTATTTTAGGACGAAAGATCCTATTAAATAGAGCCAAACATGAAAAGATAAGATTAATTTGAAGATAAGTAGCTACTTTATTGAAAGTAAGATTTGATTAAAAATGCCTTTCATTTTTAAATAGAGGGAGTGTTAAATTTAAACCATTCAAAATAAATTTGTACAATTGGTGATAAAGTAGAATTTTTTAATTTTTTTTGTAATTTTTATTTTAATAATATATAAAAATAAAAACTTTAAATTAATATGAATGGTCTATATTTCATCAAGAACTAAAGATGATTCTAGCTTTGGGTGTCTGTTTTTTTTTTCAAAAATTAGATTACATTAATATATTAAAACACAATACGATGAATCAAGTGGTTTAAATATGAAAAATTAGTATCTTGAGGCATAGGTAAGTGTATGAAACCTATAACCATCATATTATTTAGACCCTTTGTATATATTTATTGCACGAAAAGCATTAGAAGTTAATTGCTTTACTTGACTATTAAATGCACCATTTTATCAATATGTAGTAATAGTGGATGTAACATTCTAGATTTTAATTCCTGAATTAACTAAGCTTAATTATATCAAGATGGTGTATGGCCAAGGAGGTCTAATGATCATATTTGTTTGTGTTTTAGCCTTAATTATGAGTTTGGTATGAAATTGGGCCAACTGAGCATTGGAAGGAGAAGAAATAAAGAGGAAGTATTATTGTGCCACAATGGGCAACGTGAATCATGTCCATTGTGGCACATAGACAATTATTAGAACAAGAGAAGACCTCTTTATGTCATGCGTCATGACGTGTGCAGCGTCAGTTGCGGTGCATTGCCAATTTTTGCAACTTATCAGTCGCAAACTGAGGCAAAAATTAGAAAGAAAGAATGAGAAATCGAGAACCAATGACCTGAGCTCTGCTAGGGTTTACTCTTGGACGACGTTGGGAGTATTTTAAAAGCTACAAATATCAAAGGTAAGTATCATACTCATTAATCTCCCATTTTTTTCCACATTTATGAGTTGTTAGTTATGATTTGATAGTGGGAGATGATTTTTTTATCCATATAGGTTAGGGGTCTAAATCTATTAACTCAAATGGAGTTAATGAGAGTAGAGCATCTAAACCTAGATATATTGGTTTTTGCTACTTTTGATGATTGGGTCTTATTATTATGTGAAAATGACATTGATGAGGGTTGTTGGAAGATTAATGCCATTAATAGAAGTTTAATCGTTCATTAATGTTAATGGGGATTAAAGAGAGTTAATAAACTCAATGGGTAGGCTAAAACTTGTACAATGTGGTCATTGAAAAGTCAAGAAAGTAAAAGATGAGAGTTAAAATGTGTGTGTATTTGGCAATGTTGATGAGTTAAAGAATTGATAATTGTAGATTGAGCTCTTAGACATCATTTGAGCTTGGAAAATCAAGTTTGGAAGCTTAGAATATTGAGGAATAAACTTTTGACCTCTTAAAAGTTTGAGATAATTGAAGGAACCCTATTCTGGATAGTTATATGTCAATTGATTGTTAATTGTGGATAATGTTAATTGTCACATGTATGATTTGATTTTCAATGTGAAAGCATGTTAATACTTTTAATCTATGTTTTAAAAATATGAATGTGCATGATGTTATATCTAGCTTGTATTACAAATGCGAAATCAAGATGGTTTTCAAACTATGAGCATGCATATACTTTTAGGAAGATGAATGTGATATTGTGTTGAAGTAAATGTGAGTTAATGAAGAAATGGAATGTTGTGATAAATGAGAATAATGTTGTGAAATTGAATTAGATACTCACTTGGGTAGTGCACGGTCGTGAGCCCAATGTGTTGATTGTGAAAAATCAATAAATAAGAATGTGAAAATGAGTTAGCATCGTCTAAAGCATGATTAGTAGGCAGGTGTTTTCCTAAGGATTGGGAGTAAAAAAAATTCATATGGTATTTAGGCTGTCCTCCGGTGCACAGGAGTATAGCTTTGTCTCATAGTTTGTCAAGGGATTGAAAGCTAGCTTTCTTCTCTAGTTTATTGAAGAGAATAGCTTAGGAAATACGAAACCCTAGAGATTCAAGAGTAGGGAGAGTCACGGTTTAAGGGTGAGTACTGTGATATTTGGCCAGGTCACACCTCATGATTAGTGAGCTTGGGTAGTCCAGTCACACAAATGAAGCCCTATTTAGTGTTATAGCCTATGGTTTCAATCAGGGGAAATAAGAAAGATATAAGGTTGGATGATCATTGCCTATGTGAATATATGATGTGTCACATGTTAAGCTGTGGCAAGTCATATTGATATGTCGGGTCACGGTCACATGTTTGAGTATCTTACGATAATGTACCCTATAATGAGACGAAAATAAACTAAATGAGTAATTATAAGTCATGATATGTGTGTAAAGCATGTTTGAGAAATTGATTTCATATGTATGTATTTAATTACAATTAATATATAACTGCATAGGGTATGTTTTACCTTAATTACTAAGTAGTCAGACTCATCCTTATCATTTAATATTTTTCAAGCACTAGCTCTGGTACTGAGAGGGAGAAAGCTCAGAAGGCTTGGGAATTAGTATATGGGAAAATGACAATCAAGTCTCAAAAGATCAATTTTATACCAGTTAAGTCCCAACTAATTCTAAAAGGCCAATCAAGTCCCATGCTGTTTTTTCCCAATCAGAATTACAAAGGAAATGATGAAAATGCCCCTATGAGTAAATATAACATGTACACTCATTAGCTCCAACATTTCCCTCCCGATTTATCTCTCTCCCGCCATTGATGAGAGCTACATGGAAGTGGTGGAGCTGTACGTTGAAGAATACCCATTCCTGAAATAGAGTTATGCTTGGAAGATGTGAGTTGCCTTAATTATTAACTCAAGGAAGCTTAAGGAGTTGTGCTGGTACGTGCAGACAGTTTTTTTTTTTTTACAAATCCTTGCATCTAAACAAAAAGGTTTACTCCATGAAGGTTTGATTTCTTGCAAAATGGCTTTCATAAGGAAAAAGATGGAACGATTTTCTGCAACTAAACAAGAAAGATTTTTTTTATTTCACGTTTCTAAATATTTGGCATGAAGATTCAACATTTTGCAACTGAAAATATAAGAAATTACTATCAAGTGTCCATATTTTAAGATGGAACGCTGTCACTGTTTAACTGATGCGAAAATCACTTATGTCAAAAGTAACTTGTTTCTAAGTGATATATTATTACATTGGATTTTGTTTCTTGTAGGTTGATATTATTGGGTACGATGGAAAGTAGTTGTTTAAAGAAAATTTTTTGTTATTTTTATTTTAGTGGAGATATTGTAAAAGATATGCATAGGACAATGCCTTATGATGGGGGGAGTTGTAATGGAAGAATGATTAGAGAAGGAATGTCTCTTGAAGGACTTGTTAGATTGATTTCATCATGCTTGAATTGTGATTTAAATGGAATAGAGTTGAAGTACACAGTCAAGTTTGATTGCAATACTCTTTTAGACCTTAAAGATGATGAAGGGATAAATCAATTAATGAAATTGAATGATAATTTTGCTCATGTGTACATCATTGGAAAGATATAGCAAAGTACAGAGGCAACAAGAGATTTAATTGATAGGTAATTTTTTTAATAGTTGCATAATTAATATTATGTTAATATGAATATGGATGGTAGTAATAAATATGATTTAAATGAAAATGCAGAGCAGAATGTTCAGCTGAGAATTCACATGATACACAAGATCTTGAAGTTCTACCATGTGCAATACAAAGTATCCCAACACTAATGCCTAAGTTGAATGCAACAAAGTGGAAAGATTTACTAGTAGGACCTGAGCAAATTTTTGCGAGTGTTGATGATTGTAGACAAGCAATCTACAAGTATAGTGTTACACTATGCATGTTATCTTCATAGTTCATAGGAGAAAATATACAATGACACTATGCATCATATTGAGACCCATGAGATGTCAAAGCTAAATGCATTGACAGTATCTAAGCTCATAAGCCAAACCTTTTTGCTACCTCCTAGAACATCTCGATCAGCTAGCAGACCTCATCGTGTGAGGATTAAGTCTCAGCAGAGGAAGGTTTATCATTGTTCTTATTGTCATGAAGCAGACCGTACACGGAAGAGGTGTAGAAATCTAAATCCAAGTTGATGTTATTGTAAATGGGTTACCACATGAACTTGGATTTAGGTGATATACATATATGGGTAGTTTTAGATCAAGTTAGATTTGGTTAACATATATAGGTTTTTATACATATATATTGGTAGTATTGGGGTTTTTTGATACATAGCAACCCCTTTTTTATAAATTCAAGTTCATGCTTTTGTGTATGTGAACAAATGATATGTGCAGATGCATTAGATGAATTAATACATGCAACTTATATGTACAGTTCATATCTTTTATAATCACTAAAAGTGTGTTGTTTTAAAATTTCAAACAAAGGTTGTAAATTATTTGTAAGGCAGTTGCAAAATTTGGTATGTCAATTGTAAATTACTGGAGCCATGTCCTAAAATAATTTAGTAGCTTTGCAAGTTTAAGAATTCAAAAGTTAT